CCAACAGAGGAGAGGCCAACAGAGATGTCGATAAGAACAAATGCGTGTTTTGTTCTTGGGAATTCTGGACCTTCCGAAACAACGAGTAGCTGAAACGTGAGTAAGTTTTCCTATGACCTCATTCTTCTTTTATTATCATTGGCAGCATTTGCTGTTTTAATCATTACCTAACAGAGTTCTATAGTGTTTCACAGCCCATAATCTACTTTCACATTTCATAAAAGCACAGTGAGCCAGAGATTAAAGGGCCAACAAAAGGGTGTATCACAAGCTCATCTTGCTTTGTTTCTGATCGGTGACCTGTACCAGGGACAGGACAATAGGGGCACCAGGGGGAGTGTGCAGAGGCATTCTCTCTGCTGAGAGCAGGGCGGAGCTGGGTGTGTTTTCTGAAAAGTGCATCTGAGACTATTTTGAACAGGCACGTTTCAGATGCTGCAGCCTTTCCCAGCCAGGCCACTGATTGGGCCGTGCACACGACGCATGACACAGATGATGATGTAAATGGCGCCCCTTCAGGCTGCACAGTGCACAGCCTGCACAGCTGTACAGAACAGCCATGCCGCCCCTTATATTTGGTGGATATGAATGAATTCAGCTTGTTTGACTCTCAAAATTAATACCTGAACTTCTGAGCCATCCTGCCTCTCACTGAACAGAATCAATGTCCAACACTGCTTGGTCTGGTATTTCTTGCATCGGTTTCTCTCTCCATGACTCAGATTCCTCATCTGCAAAGAGCTAACGAAGTTCTGAGGGTTTCTGAAGGAGTTACCTAGCGAATGCCTGCAGGGTGCTTCAATTCACACTGTGCCTGGAGCACAAGGGACATGCCATGCCTGCTCTCTGAAAGTCACAGCTAAGCCAGGAGGCCAGGCAAGAAAAAGAAAGAAGCTTCTCTTGAGATTGCAGCCTGGCTCCACCCCTTCTGAGCTGAACTCCGTGTCCTGGGCTTGCTCCCCTATAAAATGTTTCTCATTACACTTCCCCAGAGGATTTCCGTGAGGCCTCGATATACGCGTGTTTGGGACACGGGGTGCTGTGTGAACTCCTGGCTTCTTATAATTCCCCTCCCAAGAGCAGAAGTCAGGGATTAGCGCAGGTGTCTGAGTCATGTTCAAAGCTCATGTCAAGTTAACCAACAATTATTGCGGCTCTGCTGTGTTTTTATTCTTGTAAGGGGTTCTGTGGTTGCAGAAAGTTCCATCCGTTTAGACCTGCACTTTCTCTAATCACCTGATGAAAAACCCAATTTTCTTTTTCTTCTTTTCTAATTCATTCTAATCCCAATTTATAAAAATTAATTACTAGGAAATAATATGATTAAAACAATGATATGCAAGCTCTAAGGCCAAATTGTTGTTGCTATTAGATTCCACATAAGACATAAGATGACAGCGTCAAATCCTCATAACAGTTTCTAAATGCCCACTCTCAATTTCTGTGCTTTTTCTTACCGTGGACGGTGACCAGCAATTTGCAGACTGGTCCCCGACAACAGATCACACTTTTAGTCAAGTGTGAGCTCAAGCAAGCAGTTGGGAAGTGTGTGTTTCCTGTGTGTGTCTGGGTGAATGAGTCGACTTTATAATTTCTGTCTGAGCCCATTGCACACTTGAATTTTCACATCACTTCTTGCTTTCTCTCCCAGGTTTCTAAGACCCTGGATAGAGACGCCATCCCTGGCTGAGCATAAACTCTTAATAAGTAGCCACCAGGAAACATGCTGAATATCTTTGAGAAGGTAACGCCTCCCCAAGCCTTCCCCTCCACCCTCTCGCATTGTAGCCTTTCCTTTCTGTCGTTGATAACATATTGAATCCTTCAAAATGATCAAATGCCCACCCCACTTCTATATACAGGCACACTTCAGAGAGATTGCAGATTCGGTTCGAGACTGCCGCAGTACCATGAGTATCGCAATAAAGTCAATTATAATCGATTTGCTGGTCTTGCCTTCGATTTGTAAAAAATGCAACATCTGTGAAGCACAGTAAACCAATGTATGCTATATTCTCAATTGCACACAAATATCCAAAGCAGGGTGTGACTGCTATTCATAAAATTTCAAGCCCGCCAAAAGGGAGGGGATAGATCGAAGTTAGGGTAAAGTTCAGAGCAAAGGTTGTTTCATGAAAACCAGACCTTCTACCCTAGTCAGGAGTGTTTCTTTAAAAGGAAATAACTGTACTCTTCTAAGATGATTTTAAAAAAAAAAATCTACCTTTTTCTGAAAGGAAGCCAGTCACTGCTTTTAATAAACTCTTTGGCTACCAAGATGAAACAGGCAGACAACAACAACAAAGAAGATATTATTAACATAATTTTATGTAATTGGATAGAGGGGTAATATTTATTTTAATATTACAGAGGAAATATCTCACAATGCAGACCCTGGATTAATTCTTTATATCTTTGGACTGCACTTATCAAATAAAATTGTACTTATGGAAAAAGCAAACACATAAATCTTGCCCCATTGTCAGCTGGCAACTCCCAGCAAGGGCTAATTGTATTATATATCTTCTGCAGCCATGCCTAGTGGTTGCCAGGGCCAAATGCATTATTATTTATTACATGAACAAATGCAATTTTCTTCTTGGAATCTGAGTTTGGAATTCCATGACGGCGTAAAATGTGCCCCTCTTCCATTCAGGAGGGAAAAGTCAGATCCCAGTGAGTGTAATCTGTTGTCGATTCTCCCATGAAGAGAAAAATCTAAGTTTCCCTTGAGAGACATCAAATCAAGTCTATAAGGAGTGGCCTCTGAAGGGCCATTAGGATGGAGGTGAAACCCTTCGAATCCTCCCCTTCAAAATGTTCCTTTCCCCCAGGAGGAAGGCTTGCTCTGGGTTTGCCAGAAGCTGAACCAGTATTTGACGTAGTTCTGTTTACCGGTGGGCAGGGTCACTGTGCACTCGAGTGCCCTGTTCCATGTACACGTATGATCCCCTCTCCTTTTCACCCTGGCTCTTCCTCTGTCTATCCTCTGTCCTTCTTGCAGGATCAGGCTAACTCCCCCACTGGAGGCTGATGGGTGGCCATCTTGCCCTTTCTCGCTCATTTGTCACCCAGACCCAGGACTTGCGCTCAGCTGCAGGCTGGAGCACGGAGATCCTTTCTTGCTCTCTGTTAACATTCTCCCAGGCCTAGGGGGTGTGTTATATTGGTCTGGAACACGTGTAAGCCTAACCATGGTGGTCAAGTGGATTTCTGCATGCTCCACCTCACCCCACGTCCCTGCACTGAGGTTAGGGCACCAATAGCAGTTATTGTAATTGGGGGATTCTTTGTCACAACCTTTGTATATCTGTCTCCCTTCAAAAATTCACAGGGAGAATACGTGAGCAAATGAGGCAAAATTTGGTCAACCCCAGATTCCTGCCAAAAGGATATTTAACAACAGTAGAAACACTAACAGTATAAACAGTAACACACACACACACACATACACACACACACACACACACACACACACACACACAAAACCTAAACATTTACTAACAATAAAAACACTAACACAGACTTACTCCTCCACTCTGGTTTAACTAAATGCAATTTGAACAGCTGTTATGCACTAGATGCCAGGTTTGGGAGTTTTCACAGACTGTGTCCTGTAACTATCAGAGCCACTCAGCGAAGCATGAACTTCGCTCCACCCCCGCTTAAGTAGGAGGAAGATGAGACTCAGAAAGTGTGAATGCTGCTCACACTGCTGGAACTTGAAACCTGACTTCCCAGTTGCATTCCTAACGCTCCTTCCATACCAGCTCCATTTCCTGGAAAGAGAGGCCCCCGGGTAGGAGAGACAGTGATTCCAGACCAGTGCTTTGTTTTGTATTTTCGTTCCTGTTTCTATGAATTTTTAAATTCATTTCTCCACCAAATCAAGAATGGGGTGAAAACCAAAGAACTCAACAAACAATCCTGCGCAGAATTCTACCCACTAAGGAGGAATTCTACAATGGAGCATTTTGCTGGAGGGGGATCATTTCCTTTCTTTCCTTCATTAACCCAATTAAAATCTCATCACACACAAAAGGAAATCAAAGGCAGAATCACAAAGAGAGGTTGTGGCTTTTGCCTCCAGGATGAAAAGCCAGCTGGTCAGCTCTCTCCACCAACCTGTCTGCCCCTTCTTCAATATAAGCTCCGTTGGCTGTTATCCCCAAGCTGGCCACAAGTCTCAGAGAACACAGAACTTCTCTAATTCTAGCAAAATGTCCTCCCATCCCTAACGTTAGGGACGTTCACAGAAAACAAACTTGTAACCAGACTGAAATGTGTCTTGAATGCCTGGCTGTGGAGGAGTTTGTTGGCTTTGTTTGTTTCCAGTTGGCAATGGAGATCCAACTAAAGGTTTACGACAAAGGTAAGGAAAATGGAAGGAAATCATTTTTCCATTGGCTTATCATAGTCTAGTTCCTGGACACGGCGTGTCCCATGAGAAGCAATGGTACATTCTTTGGGCGAAATTCACAAGTCATTTCTGCAGAGTTTTGGAGGACAGTGGGAGAAAGAACCACCAAAGGAAAATTATTGATCACCTGAGTAAAGGAGGACACAGAACCCCATACCAAACCTAAAATAATGCAATCATCAAGCATCCTAGGACCACAAAATTCAGAGCATTCCCCAGATAAGCCATGACCGATTTCCACCGGATTGAAAAGTACCTTGGACCTTGCTCCCTTCCATTCATAAAAAACGTTGCTATCAGTGAATGAGCTCACCACTCGATATAATTGTAAATTCTTTGGCACTTTCAGCTAAATCGCTGTTGAACTCACCTCTCCCCCTTTGAACCCTGGGAAATATTAACACCTTATCCCAGGTCCAGGGAGGTACATAGGTGTCCCTGGCCCTCCAGAGACGAGGAGGATGGGAACTCCCATTTATTGACCAACAGCATGTGCTGGATTGATGATATATATGCAAAGAGAAATGGTCAGAATTCTGTGTAGAGAATCAAGACAGGCTTTGTTATTTGTGGGGCCCAGCGTGAAATCAAAGTGTGGAAACCCTTGTTCAAAGATGAAGAATTTTTAAGATGGCAAGAGCAGAGCATTTAACCAAGGGGGTCAGGAGTCAGGGCGGTCTGAATATGGGGGGCACCTGCGCAATTGCTCAAGTCACAGGCCCTCAGAGCCCACCTTACTAAGAACCATCAATCAGCCACTGTCACAGATTTCTGACAATGATCTGAAGAGTGAACACAGCGAAAAGATATATATACTTGATGATTGGCTGGTTTTGGGGGGCTCTTTCTGGAGTGGAAGTGCCACTAGGATGACTTTGGTCCCGCTGATAAGGGGCAAACGAATGCAGGTTTCTGTAGGCCCCACATCTTGGCCCTGGGGGGTCTTTCCTTTCTGAGGTTATAAGGAAGAAGGGAGTGAGGAGTGTAAGGCAATCGCTAGAACAAAAGGAAGAGAGAGTATATCACTGAGGATTAGAAGAAATTGGCCTGACTTCCTCCATTCCAGCACGGTGCGCGGGCAGTGAGTGGGCAGACAGAGCTTCATCATGGCATCATACCAGGCAGATACAAGAGTGAGGAACAGTACAAAGAGAATGATTTTTTAAAAAAGGACTTGACATGGAATTTAAAATATCTAGGACAGCCACAAGCTATACCAAGGTTCTAACCTACAGCATAGATGCAGCACAATCCAACCAGCACAGAGAGCTGCAGCAGGGATCGAACTCTTAAGAAAAAAAAAAAATGTTTGAGAAAAATTCTAAGACTGAGACCCTTAAATCTATTTTGTCCCTGTGACTTCAGAGAAGACAGACATTTTTTAATGTTAGTAGCAGATACATGTGAAGGCTGAAGAATCAATGCTTTAGCCTATTTATATTTTTCCTCTGCATATTTTAAATAAACACATGGTAGACTTCATATAATAAAAATGGTCATTATAAAGAGAATTCAGTAACTATCTCTGAACCTTCAGCACCCAAACAAAACTAGAATATATAGATGTGGACACATCAAAGATTCAAAACATAAATATCCAGAACACACAAGACACAAACATAAGGGGAAATATTAAAATATTAGGGGAACAAAAAAATGGGGGGTTGAAACATGTAAACCAATAATTGAGTCAAAGCCCTTCTTCCTTTTTTAGGGTCCAGGTGGCAAAGGCAATATGTTTCCAGTGGGTTTTCTCAACGGTCCCCTTAACTTTGGCTCCGAAATCAAATGTGCTGAGATATCACGGTCTCTTCTCCCAGGGTGGGGACATTTAACGAAGGTACCATCCGCTCAATTTCAAGCAGGTGCTAAATATGATCACCTCTGCATTGGTTTGGGAATAACATCTCACCCCTCGATATTCAAAGGGTTTGGGGCTGGAGGCTGTATTGCAGGAACTTTCTTTCCCCCCCAAAAAATGTATACTTTGACATTTAACCAAATTAACAAACATTAATTGCACGTAAAAGCCACTTTGCTGAATTGCAATGAGCCATTTAACCCTATGGACCAATCCACCCGAGAGTTATGGTAGGAGAAGCAGAGTTGGCAATTCTCAAACATTAAGATACTTAGCTGCCTACACCCTGGCTCCTGCGAGGTCAGAGAAAGCTATGTTGCAGAAAAAGAACGTGAGTCCAAATTAGCAATTTGGCAGCATTCTTCAAAAAGAAAAATGTAACCTCAGGACTTTCCCAGTGCTCTCAATTCCATCTGCCAGGACGTGTCGGTGGAGTGCAGTCTTATTTGTACCCAGAGCAAAGAAGTTCCTCCCCACACCGTCCCCTTTCCTTAGCATATATGTAAAAATTAAGGAACTTTTTTTTTCCATCTTCAATTTTTTTGGGGGGTGGGGGTGGGGGCATGTCTCTCTCTGGCTAATTGCTGATTTTCTCTTAGCCCAAGGCTATGACACTTTCTGTCAC